TTTCCAATTGAGCCAGCCTGGGTGGCTCAGTCGTTAAGCGTCTGCCTTCCGCTCAGGTCATGACCCCAGGGTCCTGGGATCGAGCCCCGCATCAGGCTCCATGCTCAGCGGGAAGCCTGCTTCTCCCTCTGCCACTTCCCCGTTTGTGTTCCTGTGTCTCTCTCTGCCAAATAAATAAATAAAATCTTTTAAAAATAGGCTACTTAAACACCCCTGGTGGGGGGGCAGGTACTGGCTGGCTCAGTCAGAAGAGCATGCGGCTCTTGATCTTGGGGTCATGAGTTCTAGCTCCACATTGGGTGTAGAGATTACTAAAAAAATTAAAAATAAACTTAAAAAAAAAAAACACGTAAATCTCAAAATCCTCGTGTGGGCTGGTCTTCCAGAATGAATGGATATATCCCCAGGCCCAACCAAGGTAAGGGCAGTGTTTCCTTGGACGCTTCCATCTCTTCTAACACCAGTGGTTTATTTTTCCATATGCCTGTCACTTCTAATGTGTCAGCAGCCCGGTCCAGTCCCTCTTCTCCTCCCACATGGAACCATCTGCCTGGCTGGTTCCTTCTAATTCCAGTTCCTTCATCCTCTAATGGAAACTTCATGCCTTTCATCCATTCATTCAGTCAACAGATAACTATAATAATGGTTGTGTGTTCTTCTAGTTGACTTCTCAGTATCGTTCATACACACCCCTTCTGCCTGCCAGGTCTCTATGGGGGGTTGTTCTGCTATGCCTTTAGTCACAACTCACATCCCCAAACCCCTGCTTTTCCTGGAATGTCTTCCTTTTTCACCTAAGCTCCACATACCTTAAAGGTTTAACTCAAGCATATCTTTTCCATGAAACCTTCCCAAATTATTCAGCCCAAAGTGATCTCTCTGCATTTACAGTTCTTATGCAGAATGAGTGCTATGATTTAACTCTTTTTACTATATGTCTTATGTTGTTCTGTCCTTGCTTTATGAGTTAGACTTGTCCAGCTAACTCCTACTCACCTCTACTGGAAGTCACCCCAGACCCTTGTCTGACTTACATGCTATTCCTCTGGGCCCCCACAGCCCTCTGTGCTTAATGCTAAGATCACTGTTATGTTGCCACTGTGCTGTGATCATTATTGACTTGAAGTCAAAGCTTAAGTCAACTGGCTTCTAATAAGTTCCTGGCACTTAAAAAACAAGAAGGAAAATAGAAAAACTGCAGTAATGCCTATTTCTGGCAGCCTGGATAAGAGAAAAGGCTCTCCCATTAAAATACAAGTAGAGCCTGGATAAATTACAAGAAACATAATGTTTAGCACATTGCTGGGCGCATTAGAAAGAGAAATCACAAAAGGAAGAAAAAAATAACATTAAGCTGAAACCTATATGAAAGACGAGCAAAAGGCAGCAGGAGCAGCAGGTTTGCCTTGGGGACAAATGCCAATATCAGTATCGTGAACAGAGGCTAAGTCCTGGGCCTAGCCATGGAACGGGAGAAAACCTGGAACTCATGGATTGAACTGAGACTCCTGAGGGGCTAATACAGTTCCAGGTCAGGAGCATCATTTGGATCCTGGCACAAGCAAATGCAAATTCTCTCTGGGGGAAAGTACCCCCAATTTAGGCTCTCTGGATTCCCGCAGATTAAGTTTAACAAAATATGAGCCCCAAACTCCCAAATTGAGAATAAAATAGGAAACAAGCTACCACAGGCAAGAGTGAGCAGAAAACAAAACATTCAGATACCAAGAAGTCACAGAGATACAAAATAACAATCCCAACAAATTTCAAAGGTTTAGTATCAGAGTACCACATCTCTGAGCACAAATGATTAAGCTGAAAATGGGTATCAAAAAGATAAAATTTTAAATATCCAGACATTTGGAAATTCATAAAACTTTTCTAAATAACTCATAAACTTAAAAAAGTCATAAAGGCAATTTAAATATTCTTAGGGCTAAGTTATAATCAAAATACAGCAAAAAAATTCAGGGAATATAGAGAAACAGGTCATTAAAGACTTACAGTAGAAAAGCCCAGCTTGAAAATTAATTAGATCAAATTTAAGATGTTATGGAAAAACATAAAATTAAATCTAAAGAGCAGAAGGAAATATTATAGATAATATCCATAATTAATGAAATGGAAAACAATACATAAAGGAGAAGACTGACAAAGCCCAAAGTAGTAGCTGAACATAGACAAGTGAAATAACACACTTCCGGTGCAATTGATGAGGAGGAACTGAGAAGGTAAAAGTACACAGTAGAAATGAAAAGAAGGACATGACTACCCAGAGAGCAGAGGCAAAAATAAATAAATAAATAAATAAAAATTTCGTTGAAAAATAAAGGCATGAAATGCACAAAATCCTAGAAGAACACTTACCCTAAACTGACTCAAAAAGAAATAGAAAGTTCATAGCAGCGATGTCCACAATAGCCAAACTATGGAAAGAGTCAAGATGTCCATCGACAGATGAATGGATAAAGATGTGGTATATACATACAATGGAATATTATGCAGCCATCAAAAAACCAAAATCTTGCCATTTGCAACTGGAACTAGAGGGTATTACGCTAAGTGAAATAAGTCAGTCAGAGAAAGACAAGCATCATATGACCTCACTGATATGAAGAATTCTTAATCTCAGGAAACAAACTGAAGCAGTAGTCTGGATAGAAGCACAACAACTTTGGGGTGAAGGGGGGTGGGAGGGATGGAGTGGCTGGGTGACAGACACTGGGGAGGGTATGTGCTATGGTGAGTGCTGTGAGTTGTGTAAGACTGTTGAATCACAGACCTGTACCTCTGAAACAAATAATACAATATATGTTAAAAAAAAAAAAGAAGATAGTAGGAAGGGAAAAATGAAGTGGGGGAAATCGGAGGGGGAGATGAACCATGAGAGACTATGGACTCTGAGAAACAAACTGCGGGTTCTAGAGGGGAGGGGGGCGGGGGGATGGGTTAGCCCGGTGATGGGTATTAAGGAGGGCACGTATTGCATGGAGCACTGGGTGTTATATGCAAACATGGAACATGAATCATGGAACACTACATCAAAAACTAATGATGTAATGTATGGTGACTAACATAATAAAATAAAATTAATAAAAAATTTTAAAAAATAAAAATAAATGAGCTATTAAGCCATGAAAAAAAAAGAAAGTCCAGACAGCCTATAATTATTAAAGAAATTGAATTGATGGTTAAAGTTCTTCCCAAAAAGACAGGCAAAGATGGTTCGACAGCTGAGTTTTACCAAAGTGTCAAGGGACAGCTCATTTCAATCTGATGTCAACTCTTCCAAAGAATAAGAGGGGACAGTCCCCAACTCAGAGGGTGTACAGACCAAATGAACCATCTTAGAAATCTTTTTAGAAATCTTACTTCAAAAAGGCACTAACAAACAGGTACAAGAATGTTTGTAGCAGCATTGTTTGTAATGGCAAACAATTGGAAACAACCCAAATGTCCATTAATAGGTGAATGCATAAATAACTTGTGGCTTATGTACTTGATGGAACATTACACAGGTGAAAATGAACGAATTACAGCTACTTACAACATAGATGAATCTTAGAAATGTTAAGTGAAAAAAAGCAAACTTCAGGGGACTATTAGAGCATAAAATTTTTGTAAAGATAAAAACAAAATTGAACAATTTTTAAATATTGTACACATATGGTTAAATATATACACACGTGTGTGTGTGGCAGGCAATTAATAAACATAAAATTAAGGACAGTGGTTACCTCTAGGGAGAGGCAGTGGGATAGGAATGGGTAGGAACACAAAAAACTCAATGGTATTTCTAATGTTTTAATGTATAAGTTGGGCGATGGGTCAAAGGTATTCATTTAATATTGTTTCATAATTTATTCATGTTAAATATATTCTTTATAGATACCAAATATTACATATTATAATTTTTAAAAATCTGCTGTGGTGGAAACAAATGAGTGAAGTCTCCCTGAAAGAAAATACGTTTCCTGGGCAGAACCAAGATTCCCTGACAGAAGCTACCCTTATGCAGAAAACGACGTATGTCCTCAGTAAATACTGGTTGGTTTACTGCTTTTCGAAGGATAACGTCTGGGTTCCCTTCTTATTGGTGCTTGCTAATGTGCAGAGCTACCTCCTGCCACACACCTAGCCTAAACCCCACAATCCTGGCTGAAATCCTGACACACGTATGACAAGAGACTGACACCTGGTGGATACAGAATGGATTTAATAAAATGACTAGGAAGTAAATCTTTCACTCCACTTGGTGAAAGTGGCAGTAGGGTAAGGGATAGGGAAGCAGAATGAGGAGAAAACCAACATTCAGAAACAGGAAAGGGAAGGATCTCCATCTCTGAAATGTAGGGATTGTCATCTAAATGAGACTAAAGAGATAGTCCCTAAAGGAAAGTGACTTCCCTCTCATTCCTTCTGCGCCTACCAGAGGAAAGGGGCTACAGCTGCAGTAAGGAAAATGCAAGACGGTGAGGGAAAAAGGAAACAGGTGTAGCTGATCCCAACCTAGCAAGCTAAAACCACACGTACTTCCGGTATTGGCCAGGTGTCAGCTGCCTCCCCAGGAACTGCCCGCGTCAGTTCCCATTTGGAGACCTATGTGATTCTAAGGAAGCTGATCCCAACCTTTCCCTGATGTAGAAGGAGCGAATTAGCATACACCATCCTTCTGGCCACAGCGATTGGTTAGGGATCGGCATGTGACCCAGGCTGGCCTAATCAGAGTCCATCTTAAGGCTTTGCTAGGATGCCTGGCACAAAGATGCCCCCCACCCCTTCTGGTTGGGTGTAATCCCGGGAGTGCTGGCAGCCACTAGGTGGCTCAGGTTTAAGATGATCCTACAGAAGGTAGCAGCAGGGGGAAATCAATCAGGTATTTAGAGACACACTGAGCCACCGCATCAGCTTTTCCTGGAGCCAGTACTACCTCTGGACTTTCCGGTTACGTGAGCCAGTCAGTCTCTATTTTTAAGCCAGTTTGAGTTAGTTTTTTTTTTACGATTTAAAACCAAAAGATTCCTAGCCTATACATTCATCATACTTACTCCATCCCTATCTTCCTGCAGGATAGCACAGAGATCCAGGTAAGACAGTCATGACAGATTTATCAGTGACGCTAAAGCCAAGGGTACTGAGCTGGAAAGGTCAGAGGCAGGAGCCGGACACTGTGTAAGACACAGGGTGCCTCAGCTGTCTGTACAGGAAAATGAATTCCCTTAGGAAAAGAAGAGCCAAATGAGAAGCAAGTGCAGAGGGGCCTCTACTAGGCAGGTAGAGTTAATGTGGATATAAACACTCCTCCCCACATACCTATCATGGGGGTGTTGCTTTGGGGTCTTTCCCCTCGTGGAATAAGGAATTTTGAAGCACATGCCCCTTTAAGTCTTTATTACCCTGCGCTGTGGTGTCTACCTCTCCCTTTACCAAATGAAGAGCTTCCTTTTGGCTTCTACTGCCCTTGATGACACTCACTTTTGAGGTGACCAGAGGAATTTTATCTTCTGCTTCTTTGGCATGCCGGGAACTGGGGCCCCTTTCTCCTCTGGAAACAGCACCATCTTCCTGACCCTGGGCAAGCACCATCCCCTTCTCAGCCTCTCCCACTGGTCCTGGCTTCCCTGACCCTCCAGCTGAGTTGCTTTCCCCTCCAGAGGCCCACGTCTCCCGTGGTAACCTTGGGGACTGGGCAGAGTCCATGGCAGGTGCTGACTTGTCAAGGGGAGAGGTCCTTTCCTTACTTCCACCTGATTTTTTTCGAGGGCGCCCCCGTTTTCTTTTGGCATCACTTCCTGTATCCTCTATATCCTGCTTTGCTGCTTTAGCAGGTGGATCCTGCCCAATTGCCTCACTCACAGGTACTTCTGCTGTCCTCTTGACACCCTTGTCATGGGGTCCCAGGTCACCACCTATGCCTACTTCCCTGTTCTCTGTGCCCTGCGGCTGAGTGAGCGCCCCAGGCAGGGCTTGCCCAGGCCCGGGTCCGGGTCCAGGTCCAGACAAAGCAGGAACGGTTGGTAAGATCATGTTAATGATGGGCATAGCTGCCTGGGGTCCCCCAGCCCTACTGGGCAGAGGCAGTGTAGCCACCTTCAGGCCTGAAGAAAGCTTGGGGGCCAGGATGGGTGGAGAGACTCGGATTGGCGGAATAAGTGAGCGAGGGGCCCGGGGAAGGAGCAGAGGCAGCCGGGCCACCAGGGCATTAACCTGTGGGTTATTGGCTGCTGGGGCTGGGCTCTCCACTACACTCTTCTTCCGCTCGCCACGTGCAGGGGGGCCACCTCCAGCCCGGGGTTCCAGCTCCTTAGGAGGCTAAAAGGTGAAGAGAGGACACAGTAAGTGGGAAGATCAGACATCGGAGCAAACACAGACACAGGAGGGTGAGAAGATATGGGAAAGGGGATACTAAGCCCCCAGCCCAGGGCAGCAAGGTCGGGGCGGGGGGGGGGGGCATCAACTTCCTTACCTGGGCTGGTCTCTCTGGTTTCTTATGGGCTCCACCTTCTAGGCTCTCTACACCATTCTTGGATTTAGATGACCGCTCCCGAGGGGCATGTTCATCGTCTTCTGCAGAGGTGCCAGAAAAGGTAAAAGGCGAGGGTGAGGAGGAAAAAATGGCCACGTGAGGTGACTCTGACTGACTGACTAGTGCAGAAGGGGGAAGAAGGTGGTCTAAGGCGTGTCCTGATGCCCTACGAGGGGCACCAGGAATAGAAGACAAATGCAAGGTGTCTCTGTCCTAGTAGGTGGGAGGGCCTATGAAGCTGAAAGTGGCTGAGAGTTTTTTGGGGCCTGAGAGAGTCTCCACCCACCAGCGAGCCCCATCGCCTTGAGCACGTGGGCATGTGCAGATCGGGCAGAGATGAGATGCTGCTGCAGCAGGAAGCGGGCGACCTCAACGATGGAACTGAAGGACCGTTTCAGGATTCGTTCTGCCCAGTCACAGGTCAGAGCACAGGCTGCCTCCACCAGCTCATCCCGAGGTGCTGGGGTTACTTCTGGGCCCATTTCTGGCTGCAGTGGGGAAACACATGCCCAGTCACACTCCAAACTAAAGAACCCTTGGCCCCTCTCAGACACCTGTGTCAGCCACAGTTAAGACCAGACTGGAGACGGGGTAACTCTTCCCAGAAACCCACAAATTCTCTTTATCCTCTGCCTGAGCCATAGGGTAGGTAGAAGGGCATATCCTATATACCTAGAAGCTGTGTGCAGAATGACGTAGGCTATGTCAGCCCTCCACCTTGGAGAGAAGAGTGCAATCGGAGGGTTGGTTGTTACTTACACTGTCAGAGCCCTTCAGGTCAAGTCCAGGCAAGGGGGGCATAGATACCAAGGTCTTCCTTCGTATGCCACTGTAGCAATATCTGAGGCAAGTTAAAGAGCAGCCAACGGTGGGGATCTCCAAGCCCCATGGGAAGGTTAGGCTGTTTCCACTCCTGGCCCTCCACACCCTAAGTTTTCCTCCCCGGGTCCTCCAACCCCAACCTCTCCATTCAAGGATACTTGGACTGGCCCCGGCCACCAAGCCTTCGGGCCTTGATGTCAGGGAAGATCTCTCTGATGATTTTGCCAAAGTTGGCTGTGCTGAGTGGGCGGCAACAGGCGAGGCTCTCACAGTACTTCCTGGCGGGGAGGGGGCAGAGTGGGAAGACACTCAGAGAAGGAGGTCATGGTTAGATTCCGAGGGTCCCTGGCACCCTTTAAGAAGTCAGGCTCTATCAAGGCAGGGAGCTCTCCAGGGGTGAGGGGGTAGTCCTATGCCCGCCAACCCACACCACCCCCCTCCCGCCCCATTCACCCACCGATAGGCATCATAAACACTTTGCTTTGGCAAACAGGTGTCAGTATGCTCTTCTAGGTGGTTACGGATCCACCTATAGGCATACATGTACTCCTCATTGCTGAGTGTACTTGGCTCTGAGCTGCAAGAGAAGTAAAAGGGACAAGCCTTACTAAGATCCTAAAGTTGTTGTGGTTCTATCCAGACTACTGCTTCAGCAGTGCTGGGCCAAATCACCCAGAATCCAGCTTTTCCTGGTACACTGGGGCAGGACAGGGACTATTCTTCTCATCAAGGACAGCTGTTATGAGTATTCCTATTCACCCAGCCCCAACCCAGTGAGCCTTCCTTTAAGAACCAGAACCTCTGATATCTTAAACTCTAGCACCAAACCTACCTTTTGTCTCCAGTACTGGGCCCTGAGGGAAGCTGAAGGTAGAGATACAGCTTGTCGTTGTCTGAGAATTTCTGTACATCTTGCTGAGGTAGGGAGGAACAGAGAGGCAGGAGAAAAAATAAGGCCAAGAAGGACACAAGACAGGATCTTCTGATCCTTCCCCCAAAGTCTAGCTGCCTTAGAGACTGTCAGACTGAAAAAGGACCTTAGAAATGATTTGGGGCTGGGTGTTCACTGTGCTCTGAGGAGTGCCCTTGTGAGCTACTGTGGCGAGAGGGGAAGCGGAGGGGATCGGCTCTGACATTATTCCTACTGAGCGTCTTCGCGGCAGGTCACAGAGTGATGAAGTAAGATGCCCAAGGTCAATCTGGCAACAAGTTGCAAAGCCAATGATCTTCTGACAGGGAAGACAGTACTGCCTCTCCCACATAAAGCTTTCAGTTATGCATATCTTCATCACCCTCATCCCCCACCAATTCCACCTCTCTGTTGCCCTCTTCCCGAAAATACTTACCAGGATTCCCTCGACTTTGTTCTGCACGGCCTTGCTGTGGAAAAGAGGAGAAAGCTGGAGGTCAGACACAAGATTTTCTCTGGTGTCTTACTGTTAGGGAGAGGAAGAGGGATGAGATGCTTAAGGGGTGCTCAGCAACTGCTCCCATGATGAAGAACCTCCCCCATGTTCAGATGCACTTGCTCAGGGAGAGGCAGTTCATCTACAGAGGAAGTGAAGTGCTACAGTTCTGGAGCAAGGTTTGGAGGTGGTGATGAGTACTTACGAAATGGTACCTCGGAGCCTCTGAAGAAGGGTGGTGGGTTCTCCCGCCTCAGCACTACCTGAGGGGGCCCTTCCCCCAGTCTTCGGGCTCTTAGCATCGGGCTCATCTTCGGCCATCCCGGCATGAGGGCTAGAGCTGAGAGACCAGGCATGAAGATTTAACCTCCCTTTCCCTGGAGGCCCCCGGGCACTCCTCATCTCCCTACCCAGAAACACAGAGAAACAGAAAGAAAGCCTCTGAATTTCCTCAGTGGTCTTTTTTTCACCACTTGCCTTCTCCAAAAATTAGAAATTATCCCATTACTTCTCCAGGCCCACATATACCCAAAGAGATCTTTGTCATATCCATTCTATCTGCCCCACCTTTTTGCAGCCTCCTAAATATGGAAAACTGTAAAGGAAGGGATAGGGGGACTGGGAATCGACGTTAGACATGTCCATTTCTGCCTCTGATTCCTACTGCCCTCCTCCCCTTAAAACAAAACAAAACAAAAATAAAAACAATAACAACCACAAAATAAAGTTCTCCAATTCTCTAAGCTACTCCTCACGCCTTCATTTTCCTGGGAGGTCAGAAAGGATACGAACATATTCTGCCCTTCCAGCCTTGGAAAACACTGGGCCCAAGTTCTCATTACTTAATCTCGCCACGGCTTCCCCCGCGGCTCCCCCTCCCCACGTCGCCAGTCCCTACGTCATCTCCCTCAACCTCCCATCCAGAGGCGCACCCCCACCTCCCTCCCTTCCCCCTGCATTCAATCCCGCGTTGCTGCAAGGTGGGGCGTTCAGGGTGGCGAACTCCTGGGCTGGGCGTAGGAAACCCGGTTGGGGGAACGGGGTCCCAGATTCGGGGCACGTGCACATGGGTGAAGGAGCTTTCAAAATACAGCCAAAATCTTGTTCTGCTCTCCTCCCAACTCATACTGCCCCCTCCCTACCTTTGAACAGTCGCCTTCCAACACAAGCAACAATAAAGGTAAGGGAGAAAGAGAAACTACCTCGTAGCCACCTTCACTCCAGCCCAGCCCCACGGTCCTGGCCCAGCGGGCTCGTGCGTTGCTTTATTTTCTTTTTTCTGAATGGCTGGAACAGCCCCGATCTGCCTAGATACTCGGACGACCTGCTCTCTCATTGGTCGTTGCTGCCACCCGGAGACAGAAGGCGCCGGGCTCGCACCGCCTGCGGCTAGAGTCTGCCTGGTAACAGATTCTGATTGGACAATAGGGGAGGGAAAATCCAAAGTTGGTCTTATTTGAGCGAAGAGGGGGAAGTCCGGGTTAGGTTTCGGTTAAAACTGGGGTCGGTTGGGACTGCCGGTCCCAAGAGATTCTTCTCTTAAAGGGACCGCAGGACGAAAGACCGGGCGCTGGGCTCCCTTTGGAGCTTTCTTTTCCTTTGCCCTCTCCTTCCGGGTTTCAGTTTTGCCTTCGGTCGTCAGAGCCAGTGGAAGAAAAGAATCAATGGATAATTAAAAAAAAAAAAAAGCTAGAAAATTATGGGTAGTAGTGATGGAGGTTCGCTGAAAGCTCACATAACCTCCTTTTGATGAAAAACAAATTGAGCACCCCACCCCCGACCCCCGCCCTCAACACAGCATACAGGCACTCCACAACAAATCTGCAAACACAGGCTCACGTTCCTCTCTGATGGAGGCCTCAAAACCTCCGCAGCTGTACCACGTTTAGTTAAAATGCCAAGCGTTCCTGGGTTTCCCGTGGGTACTTTATTTCCTTCCAACGAGTTGCTAATGTATCTGCATCCCCATAGTTCTGCACTCGGCGAACATTGGAATTTTGACTGACACCCCCAGGGGGTGCTGGATACCCACAGGAACTCTTTACTCTCATAGAACTTTGTACTGTATAGGTCATGGTTCTTAACCCTTTTCGTTAAGGATGTTTTTAGGTCATGAATCAAATGAAAGCAATGAATCCTTTGCCGTGAAAAACGCACATGCAGACCAAGTTCCGCATCTAATTTCTGAGGTCAGGGACTGCAGGTTAACATTCTTTTGAATGGATGTATTTTGTTTTGCACAACAGATACCTTACACCTAAAACTCTATTTGCAGTCCTGATTCTAATACATTCTCTAGTCTCATCATCAGTGTACTTTTGTAAAGAGGACAAGCAGTACTGCCTGATCTGGTCACCTTTGCCCTTTATAGCCCCCAATAACCTACTGCTGGCTTCTGTGGCTACAGGAAGAACCTAAGGAATTGCAGAGTTTGGGGGAATAAGGATATACTGGCAAGAAGGTTTTCTAATAACAGCAAAAATTTATTGGTGTTTTCTGTGTGCTAGACACCATCCCGAATTCTAAATGCCTCATTTAATGCTCATGGCAGCTCTTTGAAGTAGGTTGTCTCTGTTTTATAGGCAAAGAAATTGAGATTCGGAGAAGTGAAGGGACTTGTCTACAGTTATGTATGTAGGAGTGCTGGAATCAGGATCCAAAGACAGGCAGTCTGCCTTCAGAGCCCATTTTCTTGAACACTGCTCTAGACTGTGTATACATACTTGTAGACACTCATATACAAATATGGGTATAGACTGATAGAAAGATACCCCCAACCACCACTGTTTGGTATGAAGGGAGATACAGGGCACTTTGATTAGAAAAAGAGATTGGGGTAAATTATGCTGGCTTAGGAATTTGCAGGTGGCAGGGAATAAATGGAAACTTCAGGAAAGGGAGAAAAAGTATCATAGGTATGTAAGGGAGATTATTTTGACAGCACTGTAAGAAGGTGAGGTTGCATGGGGCAAAAGGCTTAAGATGGGAAAAACAGGCAAGTATTCACTTATGCCAGGCATTGTGTTAAGAACGGGGAACGCAGCACCGAATAAGGTATGGTGTACCTTGCCCTGAGAAGTAACAATAAAAATGATCTGATTAGCATCACCACAATAACAGCAAGTATTTATCTAGAGCTTAATATGTGCTGAGGATTTCTCTAAAGGCCTCACATATGTTGCCACTTTATCTCTTAGCAACTCTATCAGATAGGTACTGTGATTATCCCTATTTTACAGATGAGAAGACTAAGGCATTGAGACGTTAATAATTTGCCCAGTGTTGCACAGTAAGTGAGGGAGCCAAGATCTGAACCTAGGCTATCTGGATCAGAATATGCTCTGGACACCATTGTACAATGCCTACTGCTATTGGGAGTGAATTCTTAAACATGAGAAAGCAAACCATAAAAGACAATATTGATAAATTTAGATAATTAATATTAAAAACCTAAATTTATTTTACTTTTTTTTTGGGAGAAAATCACTTTATTCTAATTCACAAATGAGAACATCACAAAAGGTGATTTAAGGAGGCACACAAATATCTGCCCAACCCCAATTTCAAACCATCTCAATGAACTTCTATACAGTAAGAACAACCATTTTCATTCCAATTCTGCAGAAAGCTGTATTTAATGATGAAGGAGAAGCTTAACTGGTGGTTTTCCAACACTTTATATATTCACCATCAATTATATTTTTATGCTAAATTAACTTGGTTATGAGAGATGATTTTCCATATCTTCAATTTGAACTTCTTGATTAGGCTAATCCATTTGCAAATCTGCACTGTTTCAGCACCTCGCTGAAACCTTCACAAAGCTTCAGGTCACCCTGGTTCTGGGCACACTCCAGAAACTGTTTCATCTCATGGTGGCATGGGCCAAACTGCTGCTGCTCCTGGTATGCTGGCTGGGTTCCCTGAGGCTCCTGGTAAGTGATGTCAGGCCTTGAAGGCTCAGCATTGCCTCCTCCACCGAAGCCCCCAGTGATGGCATGACCTATTGTGTGCCCGACAGCAGAGCCCACAGCCACGCCAGCTGCAGTGGTTGCCATCTGGGCCATGAGCCCTGGCTGCTGGGGCGCAGCAGCAGGTGAGCCGACAGCAGCTGGTGGAGCCGCTGCCAGAGGCTGAGCTGCCGGTGCTGGTCTAGGCGCCGCTCTCATCTGAGGTGCCCGGCTGGCCGGAGGGGCCGTGCGGGAGGTGCGGCTCCGGCTTCCACGCGGCACGGTGACTTGCAGAGCAGCTCAGTCAACCTAAATTTATTTTAAAAACCACTATGAAAAGAATGTAAAATCAAGCCACAAATTGGGAGAAGATATTTCAAGACACATAACAAAGGATTATCATCAGAAATTTATAAAGGCCTTCTACAAATGAAAAGATAAACACCCAAATAGAAAATAAACACCCAAATAGAAAAATAAACACCCAAATAGAAAAATGGGCAGAGAGGGGCACCTGGGTGGCTCAGTGGGTTAAGTGGCTGCCTTCGGCTTGGGTCATGATCCCAGGGTCCTGGGATAGAGCCCCGTGTTGGGCTCCCTGCTCAGCAGGGAGCCTGCTTCTCCCTCTCCCTCTGCCTGCCTCTCTGCCTACTTGTGCTCTCTCTGCCAAACAAATAAATAAAATCTGTAAAAAAAAAAAAAAATTAAGAAAAGAAAAATGGGCAGAGAAAATCAACAGGAACTTCATACAAGAAGCAGAAATGGCTCACAAACATGAAAAGTTGTTCTCTCGCTATAGTAATCAAGAAAATGCAAATTAAAACCACAAGATACCATTTCATACCCACTAAATTGGCAACAATTACAAAGTCTGGCAATGCTGAGAGCTGACAGGGCTGTGAGCCAACAGGAGCCCTCCTCACTCACTGCTGGTGGGGATGCAATTTGCTATAATTTTGGAAAAGAGTTTGGAATTACTTGATAATGTTGAATATGTGAATATCTATGATTCAACAATCCTACTCCTATAGACATGACCTAAAGACAGAGACAGTAAGGTTTATAGTCTCACTGTTTGCATTAGCAAGCAGAGTGATAAGTTGTATATTTATATGATGGAATGTCATAGGGCAGTGGGAATGAATGAGCCACAGCTACCTGCATCTACACAGATGAACTTTAGAAACAGTGAAGGAACTATAACAGAAGAAAACATACAGTGCAATGCAATTTACAGATATTTAATGACAGGCAAAACTGAACAATATATTGTTTATGGATAAATACATATGTGGTGAAAAGTAAAAGTAATAGAATTATTACCATAAGATTAAAGATATGTTACTTCTGGGCACCTGGGTGGCTCAGATGGTTAAGTGTCTGCCTTCGGCTCAGGTCATGATCCCAGGGTCCTGGGATCGAGTCCTGCATCGGGCTCCCTGCTCCTTGGGAGCCTGCTTCTCCCTCTGCCTCTCTCTCTCTCTGTCTCTCTGTCTCTCATGAATAAATAAGTAAAATCTTTTAAAAAGTAATAAAGATATAAGTTACTTCTGGTGAGCAAGGGAAAAGAGTTTTAGGAATGGTTGTTCAGCCAATCAATAATGTTTTCCATAGGATCTAATTTAATTTGTTTGTTTTCCAAATGGATGGCCGGTCTTTTCTTTCTTTCTTCTTTCTTTTTTTCTTTCTTTCTTTCTTTCTTTCTTTCTTTCTTTCTTTCTTTCTTTCTTTCTTTCTTTCTTTCTTCCTTTCTTTTTCTTTCTTGCCAGTCTTTTAAAAATATTTATCATTTCCTTCTTTTTTTAAAAAAAGATTTTATTTTTTTATTTTTATTTTTTTTAAAGATTTTATTTATTTATTTGAGAGAGAGAGAGAGCACGTGAGAGGGGGGAGGGTCAGAGGGAGAAGCAGACTCCCCGCTGAGCAGGGAGCCCGATGTGGGACTCGATCCCGGGACTCCAGGATCATGAC